TTTATATTAATGAGTTGTTTCTAGCTGAATCTTTTGAGTATCTTCTTCCTGGCTTAGGAGACAAGCTCACACCAATGTGTCCCTCATTTATGCCCTTGTATTGCTTATTAGTGGTTCATAAAAGGGAGGAATCTTTAGTCCCCAGTTTTCAATCCCCTTCAGCAGGCTGTGCTGCTTTTAGTAAATCATAGAAAGTTAAAAAACAAAGCTATTGTTTATTTTCATTAGAATTAAACTCTCTAATTGACTGTTTTGACTCTAACTTTGTTCAAAGTCTTCTGTGCAAATTACACTACTGAGAACTGCTGTGTGGAAATATTTGTACTTAGGTCTCTATCTTGCCTCACCATCACTAACTGCAATGCCTTCTGTTCAGTTTAGTTGTCTGCTTCTTTTTGTGTTTGTATTTACAGCTGGTGAAAATAAGTTTGTATTTATGAAAGATGACCTCTAACATCTGTTAATGGGATAGGAGCCACATTAAATTGTGAGGATTCAGAAAATAATGTTCATGGGACTTACCACCTAGGGAACAAGTCAAATAAACAAAAAGAGTGATGTGTGCAAGGCATTATTGACATGATGAGAAGAGATGGCCATGGTGCCCACTGGTGAGGTAGTAGGGATTAGGGTAGAGGAGTCTTTTTAGATAAGGTTAGATTTAGGTTAAACCTGAAAGATAAATAGTAATTCAGCAGACAAAAAGAGAAGGAAAATTGCAGACAGTAGTAGTAGGTGTAAAGGCTCAAAAATGTAAAAGACATGGTTTTGAAATGGTTGGAAAACAGGCAGGTTTGGTCTCCAAGTATAGCAGTTAAATATTAGCCCTGAGACCAGAGCATAGATGGGAAGGAAATATGTCTGGGAAAAATAAGTTAGGGTCATATCACACAGAGTCTTGAATGCCAGACAAAAGATCTGGACTTTCATTTGTGTGAGTGTGTGTGTGTGTGTGTGTGTGTGTGTGTGTGTGTGTTGGGAAGGTTGATATATACATTGAAGAATTTTAAATAAATAAAAAATCACATTTGTGCTCCATCAAGAGCTTTTCCATCAATCCTGACCAATCCATTTTATTCTATCTAACATATAAATATATATTTTTAAGCAGATGGTCCTGGAATGTCCTTGGATGCCATCTTGTTTAGTTTAACCTACTCCTCTTTGTTATTTTAACCTAAACCCAGGTAATCAAGGCCAAGATTTTAATTGTCTCCAGCATCGGGCAGGATAGAGCTGGTGGTTATTTTAAAAGACCCCTGGCTGCTAGAAAGAGAGAAAAAACCAATGAGGTTTGTGTCCAGGAGTATTTACAGTCTTTTTGCTTCCTGCTCTGCATTTCTGCAGTAGGCTTTGTAAAGATTTAGCTGAAAATCAACTATGGATTCTTCCCTAATTGACTTGGCCAGGTTTAATCTGTTATTGGTCAAGCCAAGCTGGCTTCTATTATGCAGTGCACTGAGGATTTCCGGCGTTGTTCTTATCCTAATGGAGGCTGGCTGTTTTTAGAAGCAAATCTTGGTGTTGGTGAAGACCGGTATCATTGTGTCCTCTGAAGTGAATCCAGAAGGACGCCCATCTGATATAGCATTTAGATCTTTGACTACAAAGAGTGAGTCTTGTATTTGGCATTTATATGCTAGAAAATTAGGTTTTGTTTTAGTTTTATTTTTTTACTCCCTAAGAGATAAAACAAAACTTTTTGTTTCTGCCTTTAGGTTGTATTGTGGAAATGCTTAGGATACCCAGCCCAAGGAGGCAATGGGACATCTTCAGAGAGTGGCTTCTCTTGGCCCAGGGGATCAAGGAGTGACCTCAGAAGACAGGACAGGGCTGTCCTATTACTGCAGGCCCAGCATCTCTGGCCTTTACGGAGCCCCCTCTCCTGAGGTTGTCCAGTCCTTAACACATAGATTTAACATGGCTAGGGAAAGAAAAGAGACATTATGTTGTGGGGTTGAGATAATTTATGAGTACTATTAGCATTAAACCATCACTGAAAGTTGTTTGTGTCAACAGAGTAGATACAAAAGAGAGCCTGTGTCTAGAGAGTTTATGGAGATAGAAAAGCAGACCATCAGGGCAAGCCCAGAGGAGAGGATACACTTCTGCCACTGGAGTGCATGTGAACTAAGAAGAGGAGTGGAGACTCCCATTTTTCCTATGATCCTGAAAGGATGTTGGATTTCCTAGAGCCATTTTCATGAGTGTGGTGAGGGCATTCTGTATATATTTATGGTCATTCAGAAGTAACCTGCCCTTCCCCACCTCATCAGTCACTCTGACAAATCCTTGCTGGTGCTTTGAAGAGTTTGCACCATTTTGCTGGAGGAAGTCACTTATGTAAAGAACATTTACACTATAGAGCTTGCTCATAGAATATGCTCATAGAATCAAGATCAACTTGGAACTCTATAAAGAAAGATATAGTCATATGTATATACACAAACATACACAGATATTTTATAGGTTTTAGAAAGCCAGTCTAACATCTGATTTGCTTTCCTTATTAATTCCATTCCCCTTAACCCCCTTTGTCCTCATCCGCACCCCTGACGTTAAGTGAATTCCTCAACAAAGCCTCATTTAAGAGATGCTACAGGCCCTGCATTTGAACTGCCTCACAGAACTTGATTTTGGAAATTTCTCCTCCACAACCTCTCCCCAGTCCCCTTTGACCTTCCAGTTAGCCAGGCCATCATTCCATGGCCCAGCCTTGACAAATCTGTGCCATCTGGTGCATTTTGGCACCAACTGGCACCAGTTAATCTCCTAGAGCCTTGCCGAGCACCCATTGGGCATCAAAGACGATGGCAGGGACAGGGCTGTATCAGAACAATAACACACATTGTGGGCCCAAGCAAACTGCTAGTTTAAAAGCAGTTGTGCAAAAGTTTCCCATGTGTTCTCTTTCTTGAAACTTCTGCTGTGATGAGGGCTATCGCTTTGTGAACTTTCATTTTCATTTTTTATTTTTGGATCCCAGTTCTTTTATACTTTATTTGGGTATTCTAGAATCTTGAAGCTTTTCCAAGAGAATGAGAATCATGGTTACTAAAGCAAAGCAGACCTGAAGGGAATTTAAACTATTGTCAATTTATCTATGAAGATGCAGAAGTTCATTGAAACAGAGTGAATTGTCTAAGAGCATACTGCCAGTGATTACCAGGACTAGCAATCTAATCTCCTGACGTTTGTTTAGTGCTTTTACCTTAAGTTTGTGCTCATCTAGCATAGAAGTGCAGCATGCATTACAGCCATCTGTATGTATTGATATTTATTCCAATTAGAGTAAAATTGCACATAACAGGTAGCATTATTGAGTAATTAAGTGGCTGACATTGTTCTAAGCATTTTATATATGCAATAACATTTACCCTTATGACAACCTCTTTAGGTTCACCTTATTATTATTATTATCAATTTACAATAGAAATACCTGAGACATGGAGAAATTAAATAACTTGCCCTTGGTATATAGGGAAGTCCTATTAGATTGTAACTTTCCGACACTGTGTTTGCATCAGTAAATATGTACTGAGCATCTGGAATAGATGAAGCCTCTTCTAGTGAGAAAGATCTGTGAGTACCTCTATCCCAACAGCACATAGTGATGGCTGCAACAGGCATATACAAGGAAAGGGCATTGGAGTGGTCTTAGGGATGCATAGGAGTTTGCTAGCTTGAAAATGAATGAATGCTTTTTGTGCACAAATGGATAATGTGTTTAGGGGAAAATCAGGAGGATAAGAAGTTCAGGGTGCTAAAAGGCAGAAGCATGATGGTATGGTAAAGATGTTGGTAGACAGGGCTAGAGAGGCAGGTTGGGTGCCAACTATGAAGTACCAGCATTCCAGGATAAGTAATTTGGATTATTTCCAGTAAACAGAGAGGAGCCAAGGGAAAATTTTATGAGTAGGGAAGTGACAGAATCAGGACCCAAAAGACTATAGAAGCATGGGATGACTGGGGACAAGGACACCAATGAGGAGGCTGATGCAGTTGTCCAGGTGGAAATGAGGGCCTGGACTCCTAACAGCAGCATCTGATGTGCACAGACTGTTTCTGCTTGTTTTTCATGCTCCTACTGGGGCTTGGAATGCTTTCTTTGATCCAGTCTTGTTGGAACTGCAGGCCCATCTTTGAAGACTAACCTTAGGTGTTTGATACGGAGAGTCTAAGAACAGGCATACTTGCTCCCTCCCTTGTGCTCTGCTGTCTCTGTACATTCTTCTTCCTCCCTCGGCACACATAAAGTCGTGTTGCACATCTTTGTGTACATTCCTCTTTTCTGCTTACACCCAGCTCCCAGAACCAGACCTCTGCCTTCTTAAATACTTGGCACAGTGCCTGACATTCAGTGAACTCTCAATAAATGTGAGATGAATGAATAAACTTACTAAATAAAGGCAGCAACTATGGATATGGAAAGAACAGGCCAAATTTGGGAGACGACTTTTTTTAAGTTACATCAGGGTTTGGAAAGCCATGGCCCATGGGCCAAACCCAGCCCCCTTCTTTACTGATTTTGTAAATAAAGTTTTGTGGGAACACAACCAAGCTCATCTGTCTACGTTTTGTCTGTAGCTGCTTTCATGCTACAATGGCAGAGTTAATTCATTGTGACAAGACCAGATGGCCTGCAAATGCAAAAATGTTTACTCTCTGGACCTTTGCTGTTAAAGTTTGTCACCTCTAAGTTAAATGGCCAGGATCAGTGAATGGAAAAAAAGGGGGGTGATGGAGAGGAAAAAGTTAAACTTTTCCTTTTCTCTTATCTAGTACAGCACTTAGGTCCCCGGTGATAGCATTGATCAGTAGGCCTGCAGGGACTGAGAAAGCAACACCCAGGATTGTGGGGCAAGAACGAAAAGGGAGCCTAAGAGAGTAAGGTAGAAAGAGACCATATAAGGAACATCAGGGCCATGAGCTATTAGGGGGAGTTGATCTATGTCCTGTTTCTCCCTGGTGAAGCTTCTTGTGCTTGTCCTCTCTTTCAGTCATCCAGTTTGGCTTTGTCACCATCTTTGTGGCCTCCTTTCCTCTGGCACCTGTGTTTGCCCTCCTCAACAATGTCATTGAAGTGCGGCTGGATGCAAAGAAGTTTGTCACGGAGCTGAGGCGGCCAGATGCTGTGAGAACCAAAGATATTGGTATGTCCTCTGTTTAGAGGCGGTAGAAAACCCATCCCCACCACCACCTTCTCACTGTGTTGGGAATCCATAAGATTGGGGAAGCCATTGCTTCTTCACACCTTTGAACTTCTCATCCTCATCCTCAGATCTTCAGATACTGGGAGGCTTTCAGAGGCTACATTATCCACCCCCAGTTGTGCCCCTGGTCTCTAGACAGGAGAGTACTTAGACTTCTTCAGACAAGCCTACTCCTGAGGCCCAGCCATCCTTCCCTAGTAACATGCCTGCAGAGCATTACCCTGAGCCACAAGGTTGTCATCACTGGGCCAAGGGCGGGAGTGAGCCAGACGCCTTCCATTCTGTCTTACAGGGATTTGGTTTGACATTCTCTCCGGAATTGGCAAGTTCTCCGTTATCAGCAATGTAAGTGCTTATATTCATGAAAACCTAACTCTGTAGGTAGGGCATTCCTGAGGAGCTCAGGTTTTACAAGCAGGATACCAGTCCTTGACACCTCTCAGTCTTTTCCATTTGGAGCTTTATTTCAGATAGAGCCCTGGTTAATAGTGTGTACAAGCCTTCTAACTCATCATGCTGTTGCCAGAAGCATGCCACTTAATTGTTAATTTCATTAAGAGTAAGAAGGGTAATTACCCACCACAATGCAAAATTTCTCCTTAAGAGGCAAAATCAGATCTTTGCTCAGAGCCAAGAATAATAAGGAAAGAATTCCACGTATCTATCCATCTCTTTCCTTTCTTTTCTACTCCTGAGCTAAACAATACCTGGAGCATTGCCCAAGCTGCAATTCCTAATTAGAGTTCCTCAAGGTTGTCAATGTGAAGTCTTAATTATCCCCAGGGACTCTGGCACTGCGTGGGTGAAGATAGGACGTGGAAGAAGAGGGGTCCTACCTGTTGTGACTTCCTTAACTGCCTTGCCAGACATGTCCACATTTCAAAGGAAATCCTGCTGGGCCCAAGCCAACAGCTCCTTTTGCTTCTGCCTTCTGTATGGATGGTAGCCAGGCAGGGCCTCTTTTTCCATCTCCCAAGTAAATATCAACCAGATCAGTGAACACCAAGAAGCCCACAGCCTATTTTCTCTTGGAAGAGAAACATTGATCTTAGGAGAGACCTAGTTCTGTATCAAGAACACATAAACTGGCTGGAAAGGTGTGACAGGAGGCAGAGAGAATCAGCTCATTGCATTTTGAATGTTTGATGTAGGAAACACACATTTTGAGAAATAAGGTGCAATTTGGAAAATAGATCAATAGCTTCTGTAAAAGTCCTTATCTCTGAGCTCTCATAGCTGACTTACCTGGCTTTTCCACCTTTGCCATGTGTGGAGTTGTATCTACTAAAAAAGAGGCCCTGAGTACTATCTACCTATAAGTACTTTCTACCTATATATTAGGTAGAAACTAAGTTGTACTTTACTGACCTCTCTAAGACTTTTTGACTTATCTTTGAAAATGTAAAAGAATAAGAGTATCCATCAAACAGGATCATTCTGGAAGTTAAACGAGATGATAAAAGGACTGATAGCCAGTGCTCAGGTGTAGCTGTGATTGTTAATAAGTATGTCACTCATTCTCAGATATGGTTATGACCATCCACACTCATGTGTACCTTAGAGAAAACAATGCCTAAACTACATTTTTAAAGGGGCTTTAATTTTTGATGTGGAATATAGTGTAAATACTTGCCAAAAAAAAGATTTAAGATTTCCTTGCAGAAAGTATGTCCACATTCAAACATAGAATTATTCATTTGTCATTTGGTTTGCTCCATAGACATTTATAGAATGCTTATATATGCCAGACGCTACGTTGGGTATGTGTGACTCCATCCAGGAGGACCCAATCATTTACCCTCTGTGTTTCACTTTTCCTAAGTAAAATGAATAAAATAATTATTTTCATTATGTAATATGCCAAAAAGTTCCAAGAGGTCATGGTCAAACTGAGGAAAGTGTTGAATCACATCCTTGGTATTCCTGGCTTCTCATGTCACTCAGGGGCAGATGTACCTGGTCATTCAGAATCCTTGTTCACTGTACTTAAGTGGCAATTGCATCATTTAGTAATTTTCTCTGAAAGTCTTCCACTCTGCTTTGGCTTGGTCAATACCAACTATCTTAGAGATGATTTATTCCCTCCAGCACCAAATTGTCCAAATGGTTTAGCATTCTTTTCTACAGTGGTTGTAATTTACTTCCCTCACAGCCACTGTCTTATGGATTTGCTTATATTATACATGGCAAATGTGGAAAAGCCAGGTAAGTCAGCTATCAGAGCTCCGAGATAAGGATTTTTACATCAATCAGAGCAGAAGCTCTGGATGGAGAACCCAAGAGGGGATAGTCAGATGGGCCCAGTGCCAACTGGATAGCATCCATCCTGACCTCTAAGCCAGATGGGTCCTGTGCCAACTGGACAGCATCCATCCTGACCTCTACTCAAGTGCTTGTGGTTTTGTTCCTCAGGCTTTTGTCATTGCCATCACCTCCGACTTTATCCCTCGCCTTGTGTACCAGTACTCCTATAGTCACAATGGGACTCTGCATGGCTTTGTCAACCACACCCTCTCCTTTTTCAACGTCAGTCAGCTGAAGGAGGGAACACAACCTGAAAACTCACAGTTTGACCAGGATGTTCAGTTCTGCAGGTAAAGTAATGATCATGAGGAGGGAGGCAAAGGACCTGAAATGGTAGATCCAAATAATTATCTGGATGACCTAGACTTATTTTCCTTTCCCTCTGTCTTCTAACCCACCTCCAATTTCTATAAATTAATTTCCATAAATCAACAAATACTTATTGAGTGCCTTTAGAGCAAACAAAGTGGAGCAAACAAAGAAGTAGATAACCTCATCTTTACCATCCACGGGTTTATGGTTTGATTAGAAAGAAAACAAGCAGAACATACAGGAAACAGCAGGTTATTCAGTGATTATATCTAGTATGGACCATAAACATTGTGGGTATTCAGAGGAGAGTGAGATCGCTGTTGGTTAGAATGGAGAAGGTAAGCTTCCTGGAGGGGCCAAGAGGAATTCTAGGACTCTAGGCAGGGAGTCACTATGAACAAAGTTGTGGGGGTATTAGATAAATACTTAGGGGGCTAGGTGATGTAGTTAGCAAAGAATGATCTTAAGAGAATAACATAGGCAATACAATATAGGTAGAAATTCCTAGGATAATATAAGCCAAAAACATTGTTGAACTTGAATAAATAGGATAAAATAGTTGATGGGAAATTTGAAATCTTACAAGAATTTTAATGTGATATATGATAATAAGATATTGACCTCTTTAGAGACAAGGAATGACAGGATAAAGGTAGGCTTAGGAAAATTGATCTGGTCTTATTGAGGAAGATAAACTAGAATTGGAGGAATTCAGGGAGGGCAGCTAAGTTGCTGCATCATTCAGATATGAACCATAATGGGAACAGACCAGGTAGTGGAAGAGAAAGAGAAAAAAAATGAACTATTTTATTAACATATTGCAAAATTAGTGATAAGATACATTAGAGAGAGTCTGAATTAAAGATATCTTCAAAGTTTGGATTCAAGTCAGAGGACTAGGAAATTGTGGGTCAATTGACAGAGATGGGGATGACACTGAGTGAATCTAATTTTATGGTACATGTAATAAATTTTATTTCAATTATGTTGCATTGAAAATATTGGCAGGAAATCCAAGGATAAATTTTTACCTAACTCCTAGACATAAGCTGGAATTCCAGAGAAGTCCAGATTAGAGTTATGATTAAAAATTTAAATGCAGGGATTATTGAAGTCAAAAGCCAGAAAACTCTCCATTATTTACCCAAGAAGGGCAAATAAAGAGAATATTAAAGAGTACTAAATTATTTAGCACTTTTGTACCCTGATCAAAGATCATACCTCATAAATAAAAATATAGAACAATAACTACAACAAAAATAAAAACTTAGGGAAAGGTATGGTTGGGAAAGTATAAGACTTTCTTGGACAATCCCTAGTGGTATCTGACGTAAAAGCTGTCGATGATTCCATTGAAGAAGCAGTGTTTCAACTGTGTTTTCAGCAGTTATGACCCTGGGCATGTCTGTCATACTTTCACACCTGGGACACCTTGGTATTCAAGATCAGCCATTTGTAAAATGGCTGCTTCAGTTCAAAAGTTCAAAATGAATTGGTCTTTCAACCCAGATGGCTGAGTTAAACAACCTTACTAATTTCTGACTTAATTAAGTAGAAGGGTATTCTGGACTCAGGACCAGTAACTTAAGCCAATCAAGAAAAAACTCAAAATCAGAGACCAGATTAAATTTATTCATAGACATCAATTTATATCAGCCTCAATGTTTTAGGAATTTTCATACTTAGGGCTATGGAGACTCTAGCTCTTAGAATAAAGACATATGCCAACAGATTTGCTACTAAACTATGCACTACCCGGGGCCACTCTTCTGTGTGTTTGGAGTACCAGACTGTCCAGTTGCTGGATTTTGGTCTGTGGATCCAACAGACATACTTCTACTGCTCAGAGAAGATCTGTACCCACTCTAGGCCTTTTCTAGTAGCACCTAGATCTGCTCCAGCAGAGTCCATGGATTCAGTCAACAGTTTTACATTAAATAAGCAGGCACTGAAAAAGTGCAAATTATATAATCATTTTTATCACTGGAACTTACCACAGAAATCATCTTGTTGAAACTCCTCATTCTACATGAAAAGAAACTGAGGCTTAGAAAGTTGAAGAATCCCCCAAGATAACAGAAGTTTCTAGTGACAGGTCCTAAGCTAAAATTCATATCTATCCAAGAACACAAACCTCCAACCCCATGTGTTTGGTGGGGAAGGGGAGGGAAGGAACAATAGCAGTAGCAGTGTGTCTTGTAGTATGTGGAGGCAAGGCTAACACTATCTGTTTCTTTAGTTAGTCTAGAAGCACTGAGGTTTGCTGATATTTCCCCTGGCTATCAGATTTTCTAGTAACACATATGAATATGCTTTCCAGATATATCAGTGGCCTAAACTACCTTAAACACAAAGTGACTTTAATGACCCCCATAGTGAAAGTGGAGGGTAAACCTACTTTTAGGCAAAGTTTGATTCAACCAAGTTTTCTCTAACCAAATCTTTCATCTCCCAAGTCCATTTCAATTGATGTTGTCTATAGCTTTAAGATCTGCATGACTGCCAGCAGCTACTGGCCATTGGAATAAAAGCCCATAATTCTTTCCCAATGACCCCAGCAAAAGTCTCATTGCAGCTCATTTATTAGGATCAGTACGCATGCCCTACCCATAAACAATCATTCTAACCAGAGAAATGTGATACTCTCCATGGCTTTGGGGCCATTGATGTGGGGTTTGGAGGGTGAAATCATCTCCAGCTGAAGCACATGATCTCTGAGTTGGAGGTAGTTCCCTAGTGGGAAGACAAGATGAATGGATACCACTTGGCTAAAACAACACATGCCCAGGACATCAGGTAATAGTATACATGGATCAGACTGAGCTTTATTGTATCCACCTTCAGGGTCACCAGATTTTCTAGTCGGTTGTAAGACCCTAGTAATTCTTCTCTCCATTGTTTCAATGCAAGTCGATGGGATTTGGGGTTATCTGTACCCCCCTTTTTAATTAAAATTCTTTAGTGTTTAAAGTATTATAGATGTCTCCTGTTTCTCCCATTGACCTCTTCCTGGCTGTTCACAACCTCCAGCACATGCCCTCATCCCCCTACTGTCTGTGTTCTTGGGTTATGCTTATGTACATGCATACGAGTCCTTTGGTTGATCTCTTACCCTCTTCTCCCTTGCTTTCCCTCTGATGTTCAATGGTCTGTTCAATGCTTCTATGTCTCTGGATCTATTTTTGTTCATTAGTTTACATTGTTCATTATACTCCACAAATGAGTGAGATCATGTAACATTTATCTTTCTCTGACTGGCTTATTTCGCTTAGCATAATGCTCTCCACGTCATCCATGCTGTTGCAAATGGTAAGAGTTCCTTTTTTACAGCAGCATAATATCCCATTGTGGTCCCCCTTTTTAAAAAATTCTGTGACTAAGTGGCAAAATTATCAATAGGTGCATGCATGGGGAGTGTATTCTATATTTCCAACAAGAAATTTTATTCACAGAAAATAGATCATTCCAGAATCAAATCAAAATAATCTTTGAAACATCTAATTTTTTTTTCTCATTTAGTACCAGTGAGGATTATAGATTCACTAATGCAACTGGTTTTGAGACCTTAATGGCTTAGCATTGGTTATGTGATAGAGACTAAGACACAGTGCCTCCCTCACGGTAAAGGAGATGAATAAGTAAATAAGCAATTAAAATATAGTTTTAATAATTTACAATGGTGTCACTTCAGGGAGCTCTGAGAGCCCTGAGGGCAGAGGCAATGCACTTCTCTCAGACTTAAGAGGTCAGGGGAAGCTTTAAGGGAGGTGGAATTTGAAGAATGAACAGAAAAGTTGAAAGTCCTCATTCACATGACCAAGCTGGCCTGGGTGGTGAGCGGGATGAGAAGAGCAATGCTGGATGGTAAAGGGGGTGTCCAGGAGAGAAGGAGATGCAGGGAGAGCAATGTCTTCCAAGTGGGGGGGAGGGGATGAGTTTGTGCTTGCTCAGTGATTAGGGCTGGAGTGATAGAGGTCAGTTATGAGAGATGAGATTGGAAGAAGGCACATAAGTCAGACTAAGAAGAGCATGTTGATCATTTGGAAGTGTATAGATTCCCTCTCAGGGCAGCACAGAGCCACTGAGGGACTTAAAGGAGCAGTGATAAGCTCAAACTTTTCACTGGTGTTATCTCTGTCTGAGATGCCCTACTCCACAGTGTGAGCAGACACCTAGAGAACATGGGCAGCTTATATCTAGACAAACCCTATCAAATTGGTGTATTTTGCAGGCTTCCTTTCCTAGATGGGTGAGAATGTTGATAGAAACCTCTACCTCAGATGGTCCTACTTAGTGCATGCTGTGTAACCTTGTCTAGGTAATCAAATTCTTTGGAGATTTAGGATGTTGAAGCATAATTTATTAATGTCTTTGTAAGCTAGGAATTGTCAGTGGCTATGAAAACAGTAAAACAGAGAGAAGGAGATAATGGAAGGGAGGAAGAGGGAAAGAGAGACAGAGATAGATGGGGAATTGGAAAGAGACTATGAGAGAGAGAGAGAGAGAGAGAGAGAGAGAGAGAGAGAGAGAGAGAGAGAGAGAGAGAGAGATTGTGAAATTGTGAGAAACAGAGACAATTCTGTAGCTAGCTCCAAAGCCTGCATTTAAAACTGCTTCCATGGTGGAATTTGAAATTTGCCCTGATTTTCTAACAAATAGTGTTGGGAACTCAATCTTATTCTTAGCTTTCAGTGACCTCTGGAAATAAATGTGATCAAACAAAACAGGTCTCCGGATCCAATTAAACTTTGCCAGGAAAGAAATATCTTTAAAATAGCAATAAAAGTTAAGGCAGGTCTCTAGGTCCCAGCATTTTTGCAGCAACATTGGCCTCAATCATCTAACCACTCTGGGAGGGGTGCTCCATAAGCAGTCCAGTGATGTCAATGTATAGGCTGATTAGTGCCATTTGACAAGGACAAAATACTGCTATGTCCTGCAGGATGGACGATGTCTTGGGCTCCTGGCTTAGCTGGAA